CCTGCGGCAGCAGGCAGGCACAGACGCATCGCATCAGAGCCCTGCCGCAGCCAAACAGCCTCCCGCCACCGACGTGCGCGCAGCCGCGGCCCGCTGTGCACGGCGAAAAAGGGCGACGCTAGGCAAACGTGCCGCCTGCCCCACCCGAGTGTGCGCCCCGGGGGGAGGCGCCGGCGGAGCCAAAGGGTCGGGTGCCAAAGCCCATGTCGTAGTCTGTGAACAGGTTGGCAAAGGGCGCCTGGCGGTGGTGGTCCAAGTTGACATCTTGCCCGCGGCCCCGCGTCACGACGTTGAGCATGGCGCCGCTCTGCACAGACACGTCGTGGATGTCTGCACGCATCAAGGCAGCAGGGGAAGGGGCATGGGGTAAGGAGGAGAGGGGTGGGAGGGCAGCGAACGCACGGTGGCGGCGGGTGCTGCCGCCCATGCAGGCCCGCCACAACACGGTGCTGCTCGCAGCAGCAGCAGGCGCTGCTCACATTTCACGGCGTTGTCAAACCTGTGGGCAGGACAGAGCCAGGTGTGTGTGTGGTGAGTGTGTGCGTTTGCGTGTGTGGTGGCATGGTGGTGGCGGTGGGAGGCACACCACACCCCGGCCAGCCTCAAGCAGCTGGGTTGCGACAGGCTGGCAACAAGGTCCGGCACAGTCTGCTCTCCATTGCCCCACCCACCCACCCGTCTACCAGGTTGCTCTGGGAGTGTGCCAGGAGGATGGGGTGGTGGCCGTTGACTGCCTGGTTGAACAGAGAGTCCACCCAGCGGCGGGACGTCACGGTCGCCGTCACATCTGCAGGCAGGGCCGGGCAGGGGACAAGGGAGGCGTGTGCGGCAGGGTGGGCGTTCTTGTGCTCGCGGCGCGTTTGTGGATGGCGGCATGTGGCTGTCAGGGGGAGGGCAGTCGGAACAGGCATGGCGGGGAGGCAGGGAGAGGGAGGGCAGCGAGTGTTGCGGGAGCTGGGGGAGGGCGAGAGGCACACAGCAGCCCTGCCAACCTTTAAAGGTGGACTTGTCCGTCTGCACGGCAGCGCAGGACGGGGCGGCAGGGGGTGGGGTAGTGTTGGGGGGGACAGTGCTGGTGAGAGCGCTGGGACGAAGGAGCCGCAGCCCAGAGCATGCCAATCATGGGCGCCGCGGCAGCAGCACACGCGCGAGCGCCCGCGCCGGCACCAACACCCCAAGCTCACATGATCGTTAAAGCAGCCGTTGTCGGCGTTGACGATGGTGACCTTCTTGAGCCACTGCGGCGGGGGTGGGCGCGGAGCCACAGCAAGGCGAGGATCACACCACACACAGCCCCGTGCCGCCCAGCGAGACACCACGAGACCCAGCTGGCAAGCCCACGCTCCAGCTGGTACTCAGCAAGCTCCCCACCGCGCATCACGCCCCACCCACACACGCACTCACCCACCCACCCACTCACCATGTTTGCCGCATAGTACATCATGATGGCATTGTACCCCTTGTCAGTGAAGTGAGGCGGCACCGGCAGCATCTCGTGGCTGCGCAGCCACAGGGCGAGGTCAGTTGCGGGGTCAGGGGCGCCGCAGCGGCTTGGGGCGCGCCCCTCAAGCCAGGCAGGCAGGCCAGCAGGCAAGCGGGCTGTGCGCCGCTCCCGCTCACTCAAAGGCGATGGTCAGCTGCTCCATGCCGCCGTCTTCCACCGTGGGCAGGTAGCGGAGGAACAGGCCCTCCCACCCCTCCTGGACTGCACCGGGCAGCGGCGGCGGGCAGCCGCGTGCGCCAGTCAGGCAGGCAAGCTTGCTGCACATGTTGTAGGCAGGAGCGGGCCCTGGCGCCGGAGCGGAGCGGCGGCAGCGGCGGGGCCGAGAGAAGGAGGGAGGTGGAGCGTGCGCTGCGTGCCGCGGCGCCCCCAGCCACCCCGCGAGGCTCACTTGGGAAGGGCAGCTCCCTGTCCAGGTCGATGTAGCCGCTGCCGATGGCCTCCACCCTGGCAATCAGGCTGATGTCGTCCCTCCTCAGCGTGTTGTTCACCACGCCGCTGTCCGCGATGTTGTCGCCGTACTGCAGGCCGCAGCGGGCGGGACAACAGCGGCTGCGTGGGCCAGGCGGCGGCGCGTGGGCCAGGCGGCGGCAGGGGCCGGCAGCGCCTCTGCTCAGCGCAGCTCGGCTCGGCGGGGGCTGCAAGAGCCCCGGCGCCCGCTCTGGCCCCGGGGGACGCCGAAGGGGGCGTGCATATGCCGGCGGCAGCCCCAGCCCCGCTCACCACCCAGGCCGTGATGGTTCCGGGCGCGGCGGTGGCGGTGGAGACTTTGCCTGGCGGCGGCGGGGCGATGCCGCTGGCCGCCAGCGCCTCCACGGGGCTCAGCCCCGCGTCCTCCTCTCTAAACTTCAGGGCCGCCTCCATGGCTGCCACAAACACGGGGCTGCTCAGCAGAGCGGGGTCCACGGGCCGCGTGACCAGCTTGCCCAGGTGCCTGCTGGTGGCCGGGTCGACGATGGCAGCTGTGGTCGCCGTGTCGCCGCCGCCGGCCATCAGGCGGCGGTGGCGGCGGCGGCCTGCAGCCGGCGGGGAGCAATATGTTAGGCTGAGGGTGGGCAAGCGGAAAGAAGGGACAGGCAGGCGAGCGGATGGGCGAGGGGGCGGGCCGAGCGCGAGCAGCGGGCGGCGGGCCGGCGGGGTGAGCGTGGAGGGCGGGGTGGCGGGCGACGCGGCTCACGGTCGCCTCCTCCGCCCTTGTCGACCCAGTCGGTTGAGTTGTCGTTGAGGTAGAGGCGCACCCAGGAGCCCACAGTGAACAGCTTGGTGCTGGTGACCTGCATTCGGTTGAGGTGCGGCGGGGCCGGAGGTGGGAGGTGGCGGTGGCAGCCGGCCGGGCAGCAAGGCATGGCGGCGGGAGCTGGCGGCCTTGCACTGACGCTGCCAGCTGTGCGCCGTGTGCGTGGAGGCAGGGCAGCGCGGCTCACCGGGATGCGGTACGCCCCCGCCGGCACCACCCCCGCCACAAACGCCAGGCGGTTGTCGGGGCGGATGCTGTGCTGGGGCTTGCCTGAAACAGGAAGAAAGAGCCACCGAAAGACCAGGCAGAGTGGATCTTGCCTGCGCCAAGAACATAGGGGAGGGGGACGGGCCGGCGCAACGCGTCAGGCGGGGCTGGCAAGCATGGCCGGGTCGCTACCAGCGGCGCTGCCACCGGCAGCCCTGTGGCGCCCGCTGGGTTGGCAACCAGCAGACACCCGCTTGGGATGCCGCCTGGCGGCAGCGAGGCCTCACCATTACCATCAATGTACCAGGTTCTGCAAGGGAGAGGAAAGGGCAGGGGCAGGAGCTTGTGTGTGTCTGCTTGGTTCCCGGGGGCGCAGGGCAGCGCGCTCAAGACGGCGGCAGGCCAGCACAGCACGGGGCTGCCGCGGTCCTGCCTGCCCCGAAGTGGGCGCCAGGCATGCGCATTGCGGGCGCAGGCCTCTGCATGCAAGCCAGCCGGCCGCCTCACCCGTTGAAGATGTCTGAGAGGGAGAGCGGGATGCGGATGGTGGTGGCGCCGCGCCCCTCGCCGCGGAACACCACGCCCGACCGGTTAACCACCAGCGGCTCCTTGAGGATGTAGGTGCCGGCGGGGAGCAGGATGACGCCGCCACCCGGGCTGGCGTTGGCCGCATCCACAACCGCCTGCACGGCACCCCAGCCCACGCAGGAGTGTTGCGGTTGGCTGGCGGAGCGCTAGGGATGGTGTGGGAGGGAGGGTCGGGGCAGCGGCACGCCTGCACGGCGGCAGCGCCGGGCGTGTTGCGCCAGGCGGCGGGCAGCTGGGGCGGGACCTCGGCGCGCCGCAGCAGCACCTTGAACGCTTCCGTGTCGTCTGTGGAGTTGTCGCCGGCCGCGTTGAACGGCGGGTCTCTGATGTTGAAGGTCACTGGTGGGGAGGGGAGGTCAACGCCATCTGCAAGGCAGCAGCATGGTGCCGCCTTCGACCCTTGACCAGCAGCAACTCTTCCCCTCCGGTCAACTCTCGCCTCCAGCATCCTGGTGCAACGTCCAGCATCCACCGCTGTCGGGAGTCCGCCACACCACATCCTGGCGCATCACATCATGCCCCATCCCTTGCTGTCACACCACCCCCGCCTCCCGTGCAGCGCAGCTCACCACGGTAGCCAGCAGTGGACCAGTCGTAGCCGCGGCCAGCTGGCAGGAACAGGCTGGCCGCCACCTGGGACGGGCGAACGGCTGGCGGCGGGCTGGAAGGAGGTGGCGAGGGCGGCTTTCGACTCCAGGCGGTTCCTTCGCGCGGAAGGGAGTTCAATTCATCACTGATCGATGCGGAGCCTCTATAAATGCCTCTGAACATGCCAAAAGCAACCCCCACTGACAGGTGGCACCGCCGAGCCGTCATGTTGCCTACCACTCACCCGTCAATGCCAGTAGCACGGCAAGCCGCACCATCCTACGCTCTGCGCTCATTGGGGGCAGCGCAGCGGCTGGAGCCCGCGGCGGCTGTGGCGTGGACTGCCCAATTGAATTGGCCGCGGTGCTTGGTCCTCATTCAAGAATGGACTTTAGCAGCCTGTGTCGAAGGCGGAGGCTGATGATCGCACGGGAAGAGAAGCACGTGGGACGCGGGCCCACAGCACTTGAGACCCGCCGTCTCGCCCGAAGGAAAGACGTAGCCGGCCGGGGTTCTAAGAGTTGATTGTGGCTCGGAAACAGGAAGGGTAGCACCCACAGCACGGCGGCACCAGCTGTACATCTTGGGATTAGGAATGCTACAGCTGTGCGTGCCAGCTGGAGCTTGGGCCCCCCTTTTATCCTGTTACCTGAATGAGCTGCAACTGTACAGGATGTTCGGCCTGGTAATGGGGCCCTGGCTCTCTTCTGCATCACAAATCCGAGCTATGAGAAGGAGTGACACCCGGCACCGTGCCGAGGGCTCGTGACAAGGGTGATTGCGGCGACGGCGGCGGTGGTGCCGGGGGCTCCCGCCTTACCTTCTCCCTGTCGGCGTCAACAGTTTGAGGGTTAATATTTCCAGGGCACGAGGAAAATTCACACTCTCATCACATCACTGAGCGTCTGAGATGCGCGCTGCCACTGCCAGTGGTTGGCCTCAGGCCGGTGGGATGGAGGCTGCATCCCACCGCCGGTGAGATGGCGCACAGCCTCGCTGGGCGCTCTTCCCTGCTCTCTGCCGCCTCCAGCCATTTCTCTGCCTCCCCTGCACCGCGTGGCGTCCGGAGGGGCAGCCGGAGGCGCGTGGCAGGCTGCCTGGCCAATCCTGCTGTGGTCATGCTGGGGCTGCGTCTCCCCTCCCCGGACCTCCGGAACGCGCTTATCAGGCCGCCAGGGTGCATTCCACNTGTCATTCTTAGCTTTCATGCTGCACTGCAACAGCAGAGGTC